TTTGTTAAAAAACGCTAACACTCCACGTGTATGTTAGTATGCTTGATTATTTGAATATCCAAAGAAGATAGATGTAACGTATTAGGCTCCAACAAAACTCGTTCAAATCCAAGCATGCGTCCAATACTATCTTGTTTTGTGAAGTCAATAGCAAAACTGGATCTTATTTCGCACTTTAGAGTATTATTATTTGCTCTCAAACTGAAATCCTCTGTGGGTATTTTTGATTTTAAGAAGGCACTCAATTCTTCAAACTCGTACGCGCCGTGTGGGATGTAAATGACACTAGTATGCTTTGTCTCTGTACTTCTCCGGTAGTAAAACTTATCGTTGCCCTTATAGATGTTTCTAATGCTGTTACATCCGTAGAATCCTACCAATCCAATAACGTACTTCTTGTTGAGACCTAGTTCTATTGGTGGATAAAAATCGTAGCTTGCAATATTACCGACACCTTCTAAACTGAAAGTTGTGGACATAACTAGCACCGATATACTTAATTACTATTATTTATACAAGAATTTTAGACACAGGTGTCCACAATTCGTAGTATTAAACTCTTGTTCTTAACTGTAATTATAATAGATTTTGCACCCCCGAAAATAGCTAACTAGTTCAATAGGTGGTGGAATACTACCGAAACTGTCGTAGTACCAAACCTTTTTATCACGCTTTTTTTAACAAACCCAATGCGTTCCTGGACCGGATTGCGTATCTAAATTTACAACTGCACTTTCATTTTTCCATGGTGTTTTGGGCAAGTTATCGCGCATGAACACACTTCGAAAGAACGGGACGCCTTTGGCAAATGTTATTATATCGGCATCCGTTAACGACCTTTCGGGGAGTTTTAGTTTTTTGCATGCGATTTTAAATACAACGCACCACCGCCAGTTTTGTATGGCTTCAAATAAAGCGCTCCACCGATTTTCTTACTATCGGAGCCTATGGCTATAGATTCCATCGTACGATTATGACGTGATGTTTCTTCCTGTAATTTCTTAGCACTTTTAGCATCATTAATTGCTTTTGCAATTCCCGATGCTCCACCTGCCAATGCACCAATCGCCGATAACCCAGCGAATATAGGAATCAAGGGTAAAAACCCTCCTTGTTTCGGTATTGGAATCATTCTAGGTATTTTAATTTTTTTTACCCCCTAACCGCTTTACTGTGCGTTTCGCGGTTGCTAGTGCCGATTTTATTGTTTCCGCTACATTTCCGTTGGATTTCATGTTTTTAGCTACCGCTTTACGTAAATAAGCTAATGTTCCACCACGTTTGCGTATTGATTTCTTCTTTTGTTTACATCGACGTTTTGCCCCCATACCTAATTTTCTCTTCACTTTCATGGCGCTACCAACTGCTAAAGCCGCAATTCGTTCACCTAGTGGTGCGTCTGTTGATTTAAAGCGTTTCCAAGCTTCGTCTTCTAATATTTTATCCGCTTTATGTCTACTTTCTAAATCAGGATACTTTTGATAACAGATATCGTGAATTTGACACTGAGCGTCTAATGGATTAATACCGGGATCACCTTGCGCTACTCGTTTCTCCAATTTTGTTCCAGGACCACAATACTGATAACCGGGTAGATGCAATTCAATTGGAAGTCTATTGATTAGAGTATTCACTAAACCATCTGCACTCTTGCGCTTCTTTACAAGCATTGCTTATTTAAGTGCGTCATTCGGGCTATTTATACCTAAATCGCGATCATAAAGAAAACAATATCAGTCATAGTAATTCTTTATTGTTATACTTAGTAAATGCTGTACATCAGATAAGCAGGACGATGATGTAGAATTTCCATTATGCATACAATGTTGTGCGAATTAATGTTATACTTGTAATTAATTACATGTTCAATGTCTTTGTAAATATCGTCATCGTTACCATCATCGAATTCTTCGTTCTGACGAAATCGACGATAGCTAACAACATGTTGTATAAATTGTTCAAAGAAAGACTCTAAGTGATATGATTCAAGAAATTCTAATCGATAGTTAATGATATCCTTCAACTCGAATAGTTGTTCTATACCACAAGCATCAAAAGTACACGAGCAGTAATTGTAAATTTCAATAGATACAGTTTTTAGGATGCTACCATAACCTTTCACTAATTCCCAATTGTAGTAGATACCGACGTTGTTGGACAGTGACTCATATTGCTGATCTTCGATTATGTCTTCCTCTTCATTAATCTCTGACCAATTAATTTGACTCGCGGTTTCTTGGGATCGGGAAAATTGTACCTCCACATATGAATACCACCTTAGAAGTTCATTCCATTCTTCAAGTTTCATAACCATAACGTGGCCCCGTTCGTAGTTGCCGCTTCCAATACGCAGTACCGGTGCAAGATTCATGTATGTGCTGTACCCGATTTCCACATACTTTGCATGATAGTTGCTATTCGATAGTTTGTAATAAACACAATCGATTAAGTTTTCGTTGAGCGCTTTTTCATACACCTCTACTTCTTTATCATAGTCACGGAACGATGCACATTCCGCGGTTGTAGAATAACCATCATCATCTACACTTGGCACATTTTTATTAGTAGCACTACTATCATCACTGTTTTGACGAGCTATGCAGCAACACATTAAACTATTATTATTTACACTATTGTTGCAACAATTCGGTGTATCCATATGTAAAGGCGTACTTCGCAGCTTTGATCGTTCCACAAATAAATTTATTGCCTCCTGCATTATATATTTAAATTATGAGTTCACTAGTTCACAGTTACGTTACAACTAAATATTTTTCAGTCGGCGCCCTGATTAAATCATGTACAACGCACAAATTTCCACTATGAAGAGAAAGTTATGTTAGTCGTTTTTCCGACTACACCCGAACTAGCCATGTACACATCACCAGCCTTTAAGGATTTTTTAAATTCTTCCATGCGGTTCCCCTCTTTGAAATAGTTGAAAAAGCGTTGAGGTAATATGCACTTAAAATCATGAGTATCTATTATTATTCGTTCCCCGTACTTGGTATTAATCACATCACTTTCCAACACTTTGTACTTTTTCGATAATTCAAGTTCACTAACATTTCTAAACAGTTTGCACAATGTATTGCGGTTTAAGTCGGAGAAATCCATCTTTAATTCGAGGCGTCGACTGACTGAGTTATCATGTACACGGACGCGTTTTATATCCTAATCATATGTCCTTGAACTCTATTTTAAAAACGTGAAGTGACCTTTGATAAATACCTTGCAGGTAGCTATTACCAAGGGAGAGCGGGGAGCGAATGCTCTTTGGACTTTACCTTGACCTACTTTCCAAGGTCACCGCAAAGTTAGGTATGGAATCAATGACCTTGGATAACCTTGCGAATGTATGGGGCCAATAACCTCTGTTCACCTTGGGGATGTCATTTGACTCCCCCAATAAAAAATGGGACCAATAACCTCGGAAAAGTGGGGTCAGTGACCTCAGATGACAGTGACCTACTTTTCCAGTAATTTGCCCTTTCCCCTTTCCTTCCTTCCTGGTATAATGACGTATGTAGCTTCCGACTATATAAGTTTTTCAACTTATTGTCACAAGCACAGTTCTACAACATCATGTCGACGAACAACCAGAACATTCAATTGCCGTTTCCGATACCTAGCTACGATCTGTAAGTACAAAACTTATTGTAAAATATTTACCATTTAACAGCTGTTTATTTGAAGGAGTGACACCGATTCTGAAGATGAAGACATCTTCGATCGTCAGACGGTGGTGATCGACATTAATGATCGAAACGAAGATTTGGAGATTGAAATCCCCAATGGATTTTTTACTGAAGAGCGGGAAGAGTGATGTAATATGTACAAAGTGAATAATAGTACATTGCAAATAAACGTAATGAAAAACTTATTTTATACACATTTCATGTCCAGCTCCTATTTCAGAATGTGAACTTTTTTTCGATTTCATATTTCATGCCAACTTTTTCAAGGTCACTTTTTTTAGGGTGTCACGTTTCATTTGGTGTCAAATTACATTTTCAAGGTTAACTTTTTTTCGGGCTCATATTTCATCTCCAAGTGTCATATTTCATTTTCAAGGACATATTTTTCTTGTCTCATATTGCATTTGCAAGATGCAGTGTCATATTTCCTTTTCAAGGTCACTTTTTTTTGGGGTGACATGTTTCATTTTCAAGGTCAACTCGGTTTTTTTGGCTCAAATTTCATAAATATGACACAAAAAAGTTAACCTTGAATATGAAATATGACACCCCAAAAAAAGAGAACAGGATTTACTCTTGGGGTGGGGGTGGGGGGGGCAGTGGCCATTATCCTTGATCTACTTTCCAAGGTCACCGCCACGTGGCAGGCGACCTTTGAACCTCACCTTGACCTACTTTCCAAGGTCACCACCAGGTGGCTGGTCCAGAACCGGCCCTACTACCCTACTATTGTGTATAATATCGCATTATTTTTATTTATATCCATCATTTCACTCAAATACCTTTATTTACTTTGCGACTACTAGGAAAGCACTAAAGACACAACGTGATCGTCTTCCGATCGCACAAAAAACCCTCATATGCTAAGCAAAGTTCACGTATCTTTAATTTACTAAAGGGTATACTCGTATTTGAAATCAAATACCGTCATCTGGGGTGAAGGCGGACAGTAGGAGCCAAAGCGGACATAGACACGTGTTTTGTAATTCCGTCAAGGGCATCTTACCGGTTTGGTATTTTTCCGCGGTAAGTTGCCGAATCGGGCCAGTAGTGAGTAGCTATTGTATGTGTGAGGTGGTTGAGTAAACAAAAATTTTTCAGGGACCTACAGGTAAGAGATTATATAACTTGGCTTTAAAATGTTCACTGATGTGGAGTTAACATTTGTACGAATAATCAAAATCACAATGTCTTTAGTTTTTGTTTAATCAATTAATATATAAATAATTGTCATTAGGTGGGGTGAAGTCGGACACCATGGTTCGAGTTTACAAGCACAAAATTGGTATACATTTCATGAATTATCGGGAGGAAACCCTAAAAAATGCTCTTGCTGACATTAAATCGGGCAAGAAAACTATAAGGCAGGCTGCAGAGTGCTACAAAATTCCAAAATCTACACTGCATGACAAAATTAAAAAGAAAAAAACAAAAAAACATGGAGGTCAAACTAAACTTTCTTCCGAAGAAGAAAAAATGATTGCAGATGGCATCATCAAATTTTGTGAATGGGGTTTCCCCATGACTCGCGGGGATATAAGATTGCTTGTAAAGGGTTACCTTTACGGGCAGGGTAAAAAAATTAAAATCTTTAAAGACAACTTCCCTGGTCCAGAGTGGTTTTATAAATTTCTTCAAAGACAAAACATTTTAACGGAAAGATTTGCGCAAAATATTAAGAGGTACAGGGCTAATATATCAAAAGAAATAATAACAGAATATTTTCAAAACTTAGAAGAGAGCTTGGACGGTGTTGAACCTACTCATATTGTCAACTACGATGAGACAAACCTGACACATGATCCAGGTAGACAAAAAGTTCTTTGTCGAAGAGGTTCTAAAAGGGTTGAAAGAATCATGGATGTTAGCAAATCAAGCACTTCGGTAATGATGGCAATCACTGCAGCTGGACATTTACAGCCTCCCTATGTCGTGTATAAGGCTGTACATTTGTATCCCACGTGGATAGAGGACGGCCCCGAGGGAGCGATGTACAACCGAACCAAGTCAGGCTGGTTCGACGCTATGACTTTTGAGGATTGGTTCGACAAAATTATCCTTCCGTATTTTAGAAATCTCCTTGGGAAGAAGGTGCTAATCGGAGATAATTTAGAAAGTCACATTTCACTCCATGTTTTAGAAGCCTGTGAACAACATAGTATCAACTTTGTGTTGCTTCCTCCCAATGGAACACATCTTCTACAGCCGTTAGACGTGGCGTTTTTTGCACCTATGAAGAAAGCGTGGCGTGAGATATTAAGAGAGTGGAAAAACAAAAATAGAGGGTGTATACCCAAATCTGATTTTCCCCGCTTGTTCAACAAGTGTATAAAAAATATAGAAAACATTGAAAATAACATTAAGTCCGGTTTTAGAGGATGTGGAATTATCCCACTCGATCCAAATGTGGTTTTAAGTAAAATACCAGATGTCGATGCCAGTCAAGAGCAAGATCAGCGGCAAAATGAGAAGCACTGGACAACAACGTTACAGGAATTTCTGAAAGAAAGTCGGTTGGCGGCAACGCAAGATCTTCGTCCAAAGCGAGGTAAAAAGTTAAAGATCGCACCTGGAAAATCAATTGGACGCAAAGATTTGGAGGCTCCATCCACCAGCTGCACTGACCATATAAATAGCGACTTAGAAAAAAAATCTTTTAAAAAATAGTGAAAGAGAAGATGAGACTGAATCAAACGATGACGATCTAGAACTCGAAAATGTGACTGATGGTGATGAAAAGGAAAACTGTGGTCAAGAGGATTTAGAGACTGATGCGGATTTAGTATCTAATGTTATACAGGGAACTTTTGTGTTAGTGAAATTTAATTAAACGATCAAACGAACTTACCTTAAGTGAAGTTCGATCGTGATTATATGAAGCGTCCAGTCCGAATATATTATCTTGATTTTACACACGTAGTCCGGTCCTGGCTACTCAACGTGCACCTTGTTTAAAGTAAGCTGAAAAAGAAATCGCCTCAATCGGCGACTCCCGCTGTCCCCTCCGCTAACGGTACAATATTGTTCATTCTTCAAAGTAAAGACCTGCAACCCTAGGGAATTCCCTGGGGAGGGTGGGAAGATAATATATTCGGACTGGACGCTTCATATAATCACGATCGAACTTCACTTAAGGTAAGTTCGTTTGATCGTTTAATTATATTCGCGTCCAGTCCGAATATATTATCTTGATTTTACACACGTAGATGTTCAAAGTTTTTCAAGGTTGCAGGTAATGGGCAAAATTAACGATAGGTTGATAATGCAGAGTTTAATAAGTAATCAACGTAAGTTTTGACATTTATGTCAATACTGAAAACCTTAAGAAAACGTAAAATAAAAGTATTCAATTTATACTATTCTACAAATGAAGCAACAGTAAGTAACCAAATAAATAGAACTATCAGTCTTTGTTTAGAGACATGGTTAAAAGCGCTTTCGCAAAATCAGTTCTGTCGGTGAGGCGACGATTATAAAATTTTGCAAAGGTGGCTGTATGCTCAGACCATCCGGCTGTCCTACAAATTGTTTCCAGCGAAACTCCCCGTCTCAAAGCGGCCGACGTTGACGAGTGTCGCGTTGAGTGAGGTTTAAATACCGATGTATCTATTCCCGCTGATGACAACATTTGTTTTACCCACCTACTTAAAGTTTGCTTTTTAGCAGTCGCGTGCGGTTTTTTAGCCGTAAGAAAGATGAAATCCTGGTCCTTCTTTCGAATGTCTTTTGTAGCCGCTATATAAGCTTTTAGCGTTGTCGCTACACAAAGGCATGGTTTTTCCTTAAATGACGGTATATGCAAAGTGGGTTGTTCGTTGTTCACGCCTGACGTTTTGATTGGATCTGTTATATTGATTTGAATTGTATCCATTTCTTCCCTTATATTGGATAGTCTAATAAGCGATATGGTTTGAAGCCTACCTCCCGTGATTAAGGCTAAAAGAGAAACCACTTTCTGTGAAAGCTGTAGTAGATTTAAATTATCCGGTAGGGTTTCCAGATATGAAAATAGCCTTTGCGGATCCCATGTATAGGTATACCTTGGTTGCGCTGGTCTCAGTCGAGATATTCCCTTCATAAACCTCTTAACTAATTGATTCGTTCCTAAATCATTTGGCAAAATGAGACTCAGATCTGTGTGAGTTCACAGCGCCGTACTGGTATTTATGTTCGCCTGTGACCTTTTGTAAGAATCTAAGGACATCTATATTTCTTGCTTCAAATATTGGAATTTTTTCTTGGGTACAAAAGTTCCACCATAAACGGTAGGTAGAGCTATATTGAGTGATTGTGGATTGGGTAACTGAAGAAATGATGGTCTCTATTGTTGTTTCCGGAACACCCCTCCTTGAAAACGATTCCCAGAGAGTTTGGCGGCCACCAGGATAAGCTGGTTGGCTAGTGGGTGGACTTCCCTGGAAGGAGATAATAGTAGGTCAGGTGAAGGTTCTAAAAATAATGCCTTATCGATTATTAATTTGGTGAATACTGGGTACCAAGGTTGAGAGACCCAGTGAGGAACGACCAGGATTCCTTCAGATTTTTCTTGAATAATTTTTTGCAAAACTCTAGATATTAAATTAAAAGGTGGGAAAGCGTAGAAGTTAAAGTGGGTCCAAGTTAGAGTGAAAGCATCGACTGTAAAGGACCCAGGGTCCTTGTGCCAAGAAACGTATTTAGCGCATTTATTATTAATATATGAAGCAAAGAGGTCCACCTCGGGGGCCCCAAAAAATTTTGATATAAGTTGAAAGGCCTCCTCCGACAAAGACCATTCACTTTCTGTGTTGGATTGGCGTGATTCGATATCTGCTTCATAATTTTCCTTGGAGCTTATGTACGAAGCGAATATTAAACTGTTTCTGCTTTCACACCACTGCCATATCTCTTTTGTTAATGAATTTAGTTCTGGATGTTGGATGCTACCCATTCGATTAATATACGATATTGCCGTGGTGTTATCACATCTTAAAAGAATATTACAGTTAGAAATATTATTCGCGAAACATTTTAGACCATAGAAGATGGCCCGGAGTTCTAACAGATTAATGTGCGACATCCTTTCCAAATGGCCCCAAAAACCAAAAGTCTTTTCCAAGCCACAGCAAGCGCCCCAGCCTGTCAGGGAGGCATCGGTAAACAATTCCGTTTCAAAATTATCTTTAATTATAATATTTGAGGAGTTTAGGATCTTTTCCTCCCACCAAATTAGGTCACTTTGTAAATGAGATGGGATGGGCATAATGGCATCAAAATTCATGTTCTTCCTGCGAAGGGCCAGGTATTTTTCCCGCTCTAAAGATTTTAAGTACAGCCAACCGTACTTGACTGCGGGACAGGCCGAAACGAGGATGCCTATAAATTTTGCTAGATCACGAATTTTACAGCTAGACTTATTTTTAAAACGTATAGCCAATTTTCTAATGTTTTCTTTCTTTTCTACTGGTAGTACGATTTCCATTCCTACCGAGTCAAAAATAAAGCCCAAAAAATGCTGGGCTGTTAGGTGTTAGACAACTTTCCTCTTTGTTCACTGTAAAGCCAAGTGATTCTAAAAGCTGTACGAGACATTTTGTGTTTTCTAGGCAGTCATAAAAAGATTCTCCAAAAACGAGAAAATCGTCTAGATAATTAACGCATAAAATGCCCTTTTCTCTTAAAAGAGTTACAATTGGTTTCATTAATTTCGTGAAACAAAATGGAGCGGACGAAAGTCCGAAAGGTAAACAGGTGAACTGGTAAAGTTGTCTGTTAAACTTAAATCTCAAAAACCTTCGATAATTTGGATGGATGGCCACTGAGAAGTAGGCGTCTTTTAAGTCCACAGATGATAAAAAGCAACCTCTACTAAGTAACCTCATCACTGTCCTGTAGTCCTCCATCTTAAAATGAGGAGCAATGACATATTTATTAAGATTTTTGAGGTTGAGAATAAATCGCTTTTTACCGTTAGATTTGTCGGTTAGAAATATTGGAGACACAAACTGATTAGCGCATGGTCTACATTTCTCAATTGCCTTCATACTTAAAAGATCAGCGATTGCTTGATTTAATAAGGGTATGTCTTTAACTGAAGAGTTAGATATGGATTTGATGCTTGTCGGAGGAGGTTTCTTGCAAAATGGGATCCTGTACCCAGAAATCCAAGACAGAATTGTTGGACTCTGGGTCACAGCTTTCCAAGAATTTGTAAAATTTTGGAGATTCCCAGCAAAAACTTTTTTGTTACTTACCGCTAGCGTCGTCGGTGAACTGTGGGTCTTTGTGAGTGTGAGGGTCGCCCCCTTAGTGACTTCATCTCCCTCCTTTGATGAGCCGGGCGTCCTCTGTTTAACTGATGGCCACTTGTTATGGTATGAGGTTTACCTGTCCCCCCTCCCCTCCTTCTCAGTAACTCGCCTGAGTAGCTGGGTTGGGAGCGAGAATGGTTCGTCTGTTGGATTGGTCGTATATCTCTTCCCACTTTTTCCAGGGTTTTTAACGTTTGGATTTTTTCGCTCAACTCTGAGCCGAACAAAAACTCTCCGGGTGGAACATTTTCCAGCAAGTTTTTAAGTTGTTTGTTTATCAGGGGAAGGATAAACTGACGACGTTTATTCGACATTTCATTTATTATTTTGCATAACATGCGTCCAGAGTCTGCAGTGCTTGCCAAAATTTTTTCCCTTACCTGTTTCGGGATGCTCGTGTCCTCTTCTAAAATAACGTTTATTGAGTGTCCCAGGGAAGCTAAAACTTTACCGAGCTGTATTTGGTAATTTAAATGCGTCTCATCCCTGGCTGAATGAAGAGTGTTCATGCTAGCACCGATTTCAGGGTTAATTTTAGGTGGAGATAACAGTTTACAATTCTCCGGTAACTCATATTTTCCGAAGAGTTGATCGTTTTCCTCCTTAGGGAGACCGTAAGCTAAGGTATGTGACCATATCGGCTCTACGGCAACATGGAGATTAAACTTGCATTTTTTCTGTTTATTGGGATCGGGTCCCAAAATATGCCTTATCTCTTCGGAAATTTCCTCGTCCTCATGGAGAATTAAAATTGGCGAGTCATCCGCCTTAATATTTTCAAGCCCCCCTCTTCCTGAACCGGTCCTGCCCTGGTCATTGACGCCGTATCACGCAGATAACGGCCCGACTCCTCATCATTTCGATGACGGCTGTCTGTACTTGTGCGTCTGTAACGACTGTGTAAAGAAACAGGCAAGCTGGGGCTGCGACTGCGACTTCTGGTTCTATTTTCAAATGATAACAGTGAAGTCGCCTTACTTGAAGGGCGACCTTCACTATAAATAAGATCGGGCACGCGTAACAATCGTGAATCCGCTTTACGCGAAAGTCGGCCTTCACGTTCTCGACTCCTAGAGACGTGGTATGCGGGTGTTTCACTACCTGAGCGCGTCTCCCACGGAGAACGGTCTCTGTCTCTTTCAAGATTTCTCAATTTCCGTCGCAACTCCCTATTCTCCTTGCTTAAAGATCTATCACGAGATCTACTTCTCTTTCTTTTCGATTTGCCCATCTTAGTACCTACAAATTTAGTTAATATACTCACGTTTATTTTTGTGTTTCTGTACCTAAGCGGCGAAAAACTCGGAGCTCGACGTCTACACGGTTGAGTGCACCAAGAACGAATGAACAATATTGTACCGTTAGCGGAGGGGACAGCGGGAGTCGCCGATTGAGGCGA